CAGCCCTGCTGCGTGCCCGTGCGCCTCTCCCCCATCTCCATCCTCTACTACGACAACAGCGACAACGTGGTGCTGCGCCACTACGAGGACATGGTGGTGGACGAGTGCGGCTGCAGGTAGCGGGCTGTGAGCGGGAACGACGGACAAACGGGGAAATTCCTGTGTATTCCCGCTGGGAAACCCTCGCTGTGCTCGGGGGCTGTGCCGGCGCTAAAGGCGGCGCTGGTTTAGGATTAGTTGGGATGGGGGTGTGGGATTATGACCAAACTCGGTGCTGGGTCCTTCTCCTCAGGGGATGCTGGCACCGGGCTGTGAATCCCAAATTCCCCCTTTTGCTCGTCCAGGCACTCCCAGGGCTGCAGGGTTTGGGTTTTTTGGCTGTGAATCCCAAATTTCCCCCTTTTGTTCGTGCCAGGCACCCCCAGGGCTGCAGGGTTTGGGGTTTTTGGCTGTGAATCCCAAATTTCCCCCTTTATTCGGGCTGCAGGGTTTGGGGTTTCTGGCTGTGAATCCCATATTTCCCCCTTTGTTCGTGCCAGGCACCCCGAGGGCTGCAGGTTTTGGGTTTTTTGGCTGTGAATCTCAAATTCCCCCCTTTGTTCGGGCCGCAGGTTTTTGGGGTTTCTGGCTGTGAATCCCAAATTCCCCCCTTTGTTCGGGCTGCAGGTTTTTGGGGTTTTTGGCTGAACTCTGCAGATTTCTCAGGGCATCAATGATTTTTCTGGGTGAATCGGAGCAGCTGCAGGGGCAGGGATGGGTGAGCAAATCCCTTCCCAGGAGGGCAGGAGCTTTCTCTGTGCTGCTCTCAGAGTTGGTGATGGGCTGGTTTGGGAACAGGGCTTGTTTGTGCTGGGCGGTCAAATGCAGTGGAGGTTTTGCCTAAAAATGAAGGTTTTCCCTAAAAATATGGAGATTTTACCTAAAAAAAAAAAGAGATTTTACCCAAGGAATCCGCTGGGATTTCAGCGGCTCTCTCCCCTCGCAGCCCGCTGGGGGTTTATTCAGTATTAATTTACCTCATTTGCAAACCCATGAGCCCGGGCTGTCCGAGTGTCCCCAGGTGGCAGCCGAGCCTCAGGCAAGGGCAGGGCACGCAGCTCCGCACATTTCTGCTGTTCCGGGTTGGTTTTGGTGCATTTGTTGGGTTTTGTGCCGCCGGGCAGCCCCAGCCCCTCTGTGCTGTCCCCAACTTGGGCCATTCCCCTCCCTGAGCTTTGAACAGGAAACCACCAGAGCGAGGATTTCGGCATTTTGGGGCACAGGAATCCCAGTTAGACTTGAATTTTTTCTCTTTATTTTGAACTGTGAAGCCGCAGTGCAGCTTTGGGGTTGATTTTTTGCTGCTTTCTCCTTGAGCTCTGATGGTTTCCCACCTCCTCCCCCAGGGGAAGCACTGAGGGTTCAACCACTGGGGGGGCCTTGGGATGGGGTTTTTTTGTTTTCACACCCAAAACGTGGAGCCTTGGGTATGGTTTTTTTTTTGTTATTTTTACTCCCAAATTGTGGAACCTTGAGATGAGTTTTTTATTTTGTTTTTACACCCAAATTGTGGAACCTTGGGTAGGGTTTTTTTGTTGTTTTTACACCCAAATTGTGGAACCTTGGGATGGGTTTTTTGTTATTTTCACACCCAAATCGTGGAACCTTGGGATGGGTTTTTTTGTTGTTTTTACACCCAAAATGTGGAGCCTTGGGATGGCTTTTTTTTGTTGTTTTTACACCCAAAACGTGGAGCCTTGGGATGGCTTTTTTTTTGTTTTCACACCCAAATTGTGGAGCCTTGGGATGGGATTTTTATTTTGTTTTCACACCCAAAATGTGGAACCTTGAGATGGGTTTTTTATTTTGTTTTTACACCCAAATCATGGAACCTTGGGATGGGTTTTTTATTTTGTTTTCACACCCAAACTGTGGAACCTTGAGATGGGTTTTTTATTTTGTTTTTACACCCAAAATGTGGAACCTTGAGATGGGTTTTTTATTTTGTTTTCACACCCAAAATGTAGAGCCTTGGGTAGGGTTTTTTTTTTTTGTTATTTTTACACCCAAAATGTGGAGCCTTGAGATGGGTTTTTTTTGTTGTTTTCACACCCAAAACGTGGAACCTTGGGATGGGTTTTTTGTTGTTTTCACACCCAAATCATGGAACCTTGAGATGGGTTTTTTTTGTTGTTTTCACACCCAAAACGTGGAACCTTGGGATGGGTTTTTTGTTATTTTTACACCCAAATTGTGGAACCTTGGGATGTTTTTTTTTTTTGTTGTTGTTTTTACACCCAAATAGTAGAGCCTTGGGTAGGGTTTTTTTTTGTTGTTTTTCACACCCAAAACGTGGAACCTTGAGATGGGTTTTTTATTTTGTTTTCACACCCAAATCGTGGAACCTTGGGATGGGTTTTTTGTTGTTTTTACACCCAAAATGTGGAACCTTGGGATGGGCTTTTTATTTTGTTTTCACACCCAAATCGTGGAACCTTGGGATGGGTTTTTTGTTATTTTTACACCCAAAATGTGGAGCCTTGGGATGTTTTTTTTTTTTGTTGTTTTCACACCCAAAATATGGAACCTTGGGATGGGTTTTTTATTTTGTTTTCACACCCAAATTGTGGAGCCTTGGGTAGGGGTTTTTTATTTTGTTTTCACACCCAAAATGTAGAGCCTTGGGTAGGGTTTCTTTTGTTGTTTTTACACCTAAAATATGGAGCCTTGAGATGGGTTTTTTATTTTGTTTTCACACCCAAAATGTGGAGCCTTGGGTAGGGGTTTTTTATTTTGTTTTCACACCCAAATCATGGAGCCTTGGGATGGGTTTTTTGTTGTTTTCACACCCAAAATGTGGAACCTTGGGATGGGTTTTTTTGTTGTTTTCACACCCAAATCGTGGAACCTTGGGATGTTTTTTTTTGTTGTTTTCACACCCAAATCGTGGAACCTTGGGATGGGTTTTTTGTTGTTTTCCCACCCAAAATGTGGAGCTGGAGAGCCAGCCTGGAGCAGCTTGAGCGGAATCCCCATTCCCAGTGCTGCTCTGCTCCATCTCAGTGTTCACAGGGCCGGGCCCCA